TATAAGACCAAAATACCTTGTTAAATTAAAAATTCCTAAATAAGTCTTAAATTATCCTAATTACTTGACATTAGGTTGAAATTCAATGTTCTCAAAATATGAATTAAGGACTTTTTTTTAAAATAAAAAAAATGGAAAACAAATCTGTTAGAAGAAAGCAGGGCTGGAACTTGCTACTATTATAAACAGGTTCTTACTAATTTTATAATACGCATAATATGGTGTTTTGTTTTCGATATAAACTGCTATACAAAACTGAAAACACTAAAGTATTAGGCGCCCGATTTCAATTTACTTTATATTTGGTTTCAGGAAATGGAATCACTAATTTATAAAACAAAAATTCATGCCCCGATTTCAAAAAAGAGTTACACTAAATAATTGTAATTGTACTAAATAAATTGTATTAAGAACAAACGTGAGCAGTAAAACATCTGTTTTTTTTTTGCAATTCACTCCCTTAGTTTTTGTTTTTATCTAAATTTTAATATGAAATTATAGGAAACTCTCTTTTGCAAAATTATAATTATATAATAATACTCTGTTGCATTTGAAATAAGAAATACGCCTCTGATTTTTTAAATAAGCTGCTTTGAAATGATAAATTGACTAACATTCCCATTTTCATGTAACCTTCATTTGTTTTGTTTTCCTCCTTTATTTCTAACACGTTGGATTTCGTAAAACATACTTGTTTTTTTTTGTTATTAAAATTATATTCTCAGATAACGTGTAAGCTTCTAGCTAATTTGAAATTTCATTTGATAAAGTAAAGAACGAAAAAACAAAATAAGAAAATAAAAACAATGTGAAGAATAAATCGCATTTTTCTTTTAGGTGCACGCGTATAGATTAATATTTCTATTCCTAACAGCTATATAGTAAATATGTAAAAAACACTTTCAATTTGAATATAATTTTAAAAAATATTAAAATAAAAGAAATTCCCTTGAATCAGAATGAAGAATTTCGTATGTTCCGACAAATATTTTTCAAGAAGAGCCGGTACTTATTATTTCAGATTTCTTTCTTCCTTCCAGTGTCGGTGCCTTTTTATTTATTTCTTTTTATTTTATTAAAACCAAGAAGAAAAAAAATGTACGAAAATTCTAAACACGTCCTTTTATAGAGTCAGCGTGTTGGCATTTAGTAGAAAGGAAAATAATATAAGACAAGGCAGTAGAAACAAAATACAAAAACAGGAATAAACGAGGAGCGAGAAAATCTGTCATGTGAGAAAACCCATATTTTCATGTCTTCTATGTTATTTTTGTTGTTTGCTTCTACAAATATACGAAGAATTTTTTAAAAATGGCTCTTAGGCATTTTGATTTTCTCTTATTTTATTTTTTTTTATAAAAATTTTTTAAATACTGGACAGCATAAAAGAAGAATATAGGAAAGGAATTCAAATCTTTTATTCTAACTTTTTTTTATAGTTTTATAAAATAATTTATTAGGATTTAAAAAAATAATATTTTAAATAAAAAATTTTTTATAATGCTTTTATGCTTTCAAAGTAGTCACTTTTCTTAATCGAATGCTCTAATTAAATTTGGAAAAATAAAATTAAATTGTATCATATATTTTTACGAAATCCGGATGGGAAAGAAGTAATTTTATGGAGGTTTGAATATTAAAACATTTTAATAACTACAATGACGGTTCTTGAAACTTAGAAAACATAGTTGCAAATTTTTGGTTTTATGTCGATATTTTGTTCTAAACTTAAGAAACCTGTCATCATGAAAAATATCCCGAAACAAACCTTAAACAAATCTTTTGTATAATGAAAACTAAGCAAATTATTAATAGTTTAAAAAAATAAATACGAGTATTGATATAACTTTTATTTTAGCTTAATTGAAATGCAATTTACTACACTGACTCTATAATGATTGTATGAAATATTTCATCGATAAGATAGCTAAAAATTAAATTGATGCAATTACACAATATTCCTGACTAATAATTTTAATTATATACATACATATTTTTTTCACAATATTCAAATATTTCTAGCTTTTACTCTTACATACATACACATTACAATAAAATTTTCAATGGCTAAAATTCCTACATTATATACAATGGTAGTAGTGCATGTTCCTGACAAGTTAATAATGGAAAAAAGATATCCTTTTCAACTTTTCTTTTATTTTCTAAGTCATTTTTGCTTGTTTCCTTGGTTTTTTTTAATATAAAATTGAATTTCAGCACCTTTAATTTTTGATTTACAAAAAAAAATTATGTCCTGAATTTCTAAAACACATTTAGTAGATATGTAAAACGTTTTTATCATACGTTAAAGAAAATATTTCACTTATACAATGTACATTTATACATCGCTTAGGAAAAGAAGAAAATTTTGGAAAGTCAGTATGATGATAAAAGAAAAAAAAAATTTAATTTTTTTATTTAGATAAAACATTCTTCAGATTGATAAATAATTCTCTCTCGTGCAGGAATTTTGTTTTGGAACTAAAAATTTTATTTGGAAATCAAAGTAAATTTAGTCTGCTGAATAGCATATTATGAAACTTTAAAGGAAAATTTTTTGTTTTACACATGAGTAATTCCAAATGCACGTGTAGAAGCTCAAAGAATTTCCAACTTTATCATATCAAAAATGTTAAAGAAAATTATGTATATGTGTACATATTTCGATATTTACTCAAATGTGAAAATTAGTAGTAGGTATACGTACAATTGGTATATTCAAAAGAGACGAGTTAAAAACATAATTTAAGATAAATATAAAAAAAAGAAAAACCAAAATTTTGTACACAATTGTAACTTTCTATGAATGGCGATATTTGTAAAACAACAAGAAATGAATATGAAAACTAAAAATTATATTAAATTATAAAGAGAATAAAAGTTTGTTTTTGAAATTGTGGTGGAGTTACATAAATACGAGACTATAGCAATCAAAAGTGCTATACAATATTGTACATGTAATTATAATTTAATTCAAATTTTTTAAAAATATTTTGAAGTATTTGATTAACTACTTAGTTTTCAACTGTTTGTAGAAGACTATACTTATGTAACTTTAATAACTGTACATACTACTATATGTTACATGCACATAATTTACTAACAACAATGTATATTTTCAAAAATTAAATAATATTTTACGATTGCCCTTTTATTATGAAAACACAACAATTTTGTTTTTTTATGTTATCCTTAATTTGGCGCTTAACTTAATTGTTTTCCTTTAAAACTTTCTTATATATTACTAAAAATTCCTTTTATTTTTTTCCTCTCCCCCGAATAAGGAGTTTTTTTTTAATAAAAATTTATTTTAATAAAAATAAAATTCATTTTTGTAACGGGAGAAAATAGTATATTTTAAATTATAAAGTAAGTAAAAATCAACGAGAATAATAAAGAAAAAGAATGTCTTAAGGATATTTTAAGGAAGAAAATAATTTTTTTCTTATTATTTTCATTTCAGTTATAGTAAACGAAGTAAAATTGAAAAAAGGACCTTTGTGTATCCTTTGTATATAGTTCATAAACGTCTTCAAAATGTTTTACTGTTTGTTTTCATAAAACTTGAACTATAAAAATGCAATTTGAAGTTGCTTTAGAGACGAATAAAATAAAAATAAATAAATAAATGTTGTGTACATATTATTGCATTCAGTTAAAAGTTCATTAAATTAAATAACAAAGTAAACTTCAACAAAGAAAAAGAAGAAAAATAACAAAACAAAATAAACAAACAATTGACCAACATTAAATAAATTGAATACTTAACTTAAGAACCTCGTATATTCTTCTTATTTTGGATTTCAAGTTTTTGATGGAATTTAGCGCTCTTTTTTTTTTAATTTTTTAAATATTCAATTAATGTTGAAGCTTGTAACTATGCTAAGCCGATATTGGAATCTAGTTTCAAAAGACACAATTAATAAAATTTATACTAAAAAATCATGTTATATATTGCGCCTTTTAATTTTACACCTTAAGACTTTTAATTTAACTTAAATTTTTTAGTAATTCTAAGGAATTTAGTAAAATTAACTGGGAATTTCCCCATAAAACTTAATAAATTTGATTTCATTTTAATTTTTATTTATTCTTCACAAATGTATATACAAAAGTGCGAAATAACTTAACTTTCAAAGGGCTAAACTTAAAACTGTTTTATAGTCTACAATTAAATTAATTTCAAAAATTATATATTTACACCACATTAACCTACATATGTGCACAAATATTAGACTGTAAATCCAAATTTATAGAAATCTCATCCAAATGTTTGGATTTATCAATTCAATTCCCATAAATAGAATGAGTTCATACTTGGTTGAAACATTCAGGACTTCCGCTCTTCTCACAATCAATTTAACGTTTATCTTTACTTCTTTAATAAAAAACTCAACTTAAAATTTTGTGACTTATGCAGGTTTAAAAGATTTTCTTACTCACTTTCCAATATTTAAAAAATATCCAATTTTCTTTTAAGTTTTGTAATCCCGTTAATAAGGAATGATAATCGAATAAACTACTATAAATCAAAATTTATGGTGAGCATATTATGGTTATACCAGTTCTATTAAGAACTTGGTCAACAAATAATTATTTACTTTTTGGATTTAATAAAAGAAATTCGACCGAACTAGCTTTAATTACATTAAATTATCAGCAAAAAAGTTTCTGGTTAAAATTCAAAAAAAATATTATACTAGGTAGGAAAAGTCCATTATCACTATACGTAATAAGTTCCTATTCGCATTAATGAGCAAAGGATATAAAAAATAAAGCAATTTCAGAAACTTTTTTTTTGAAAAGTTTAACTTTAGTTTCATTTTTTTGTTCAACTTTAGTTTTGTTTCAAGAATATTTTATACAATTTACATAGGATAATAAAAGAAAAATCAATAATGAATTATAGATGGAGGCGGAAGGGAAAGTTTTAAAGTGCAATTTTTTTTTTTTCAGATAACAAAAACAGAAAGAAAAAGTAAATGAAGAGGAGAACTTACCTTTTTTAAGGTATATTTACGTTTACAATCAAAGTTTGTTAAAATCCTTATTGAGTATATTCTGAAATTAAAAAAAAAAGAACAAAAAAATGAAGATATTTAAATATAGTACTCGTAATTCGAATAATAAGATTAAAATAATTAGGTTAATTGCAAGAAAAAAAAATGTTTTCTATTTTTTTTTTTTTTTCAACTCTTTGATTTTGTTTTTTGTATATGCAATGCAGCATTGATAATTGCATTTACAACATTTAAGATACTTAATGAAACCGTATTGTTAAGTTTTATTTAAGGAACTTGATGAAAAAGAAAAATATGTACAAATACATATAATTTCATCTATAATTATTAAAATTAAATTTTAGATTAAAGAAATATCACGCCTTTTATTTGAATGTGACAAATTTGATTAAGGAAAATTACTGTTGTAACAGCTAACTTTTTATCAAAAAATCAAATCAAAGTATTATTGATGTTATATAATTGGTACATGAAATAAGATAAAATTAGAATTCAGAAGATTTCGTAAAATCGTCAAGATCCTTAATAATTTTTTGAGATAATGCATAATTGTAATAATTTAACAGTAGTATACATATTTAGTTTACTAGCAAATAGGTACACAATTCGAACACCTCAAAGTTTATCAATTTGAAAAGTTTAAAATCTTTCAGTTCCATAATCTAATTTGAGCTTACTATAACTAATATAATTTTTAAAATTAACTAAAGCAAACATATATTCTTGTGTTTAAGCATATGAATTATTCGTGTGTGTATTACTGTAATATTGAAATAAAGGAACACTTTTATTTTTGAATATCAATAATCGGTTGCTCATAATCATTTATTCTATATAATTTTAATTTTTCTGCGTACAATATCAAAAGTCAACTATATATTTCCAATTGATAAATTTCTATTATATTACAATAAGTGATAAGTTTTATTATCATTGATATTCAATTATTCTGAAATCATGAATAGATAATGAATATTTTCAATTTCTTTCAATTTTACATAATATTACCATTATAATGATATGCTCTCTTATATTACTTAAAAAATTACTATCATATATATTTCTTTTCCATTAGAAATTAATGAAAATTACGAAAGAAAAATTAAAAATAAAAGGATTTCAAGGATAATTATTATTGATTAAGAGAAAATTTTCAATTATACATGAGATAAAATTGAATTATAAATGAGAAAAAACTTGATTGCACTTACGCTCTAGAATCCTTTTAAAGGATGTAAAAAAATTTTTTTTTATTATAAAATTTTATTATATAAAATAATGAAAATTAAGTGAAATAAGATTTAAGCTAAGCACTTTCTTAGTTAATTTGCAGTAAAAGCAGCGCACATCGAAAAAACAGAAAAACAAAATTTTATAGAAAAAATTTGAGTGCTCCTTTTCTACTTTTAAATTAATAAAAAAATAAATTATTCAGTGATTTTAGAATTTTTCAATTCAATACATGAATATTGAAGCTGTGACTTTTAAAAATCAATTTATAAGCCATTGAATACCAACATTAAAATTTTTATAAATTTTTCAGTATTTTTCTTTAATTATAAATCAAAAGTTTGCTTCTCAAGAACCACTTGAATTCAACTTCATCTTTAATAATTAAAAATTTCGGTCCATATTTTTATTAAAATGAAATCCATTTTAAAAAAAATCACGTTCTTTTTTTGCTAAAGTTTTTTTATAAGATAGAGTCCACCAAATTACTCCGATATTTATTATTAACATGATATGACTCCGATTTTCACCATTAACAAAAGTTTAAATGTAGACATAACCAATAAAACAACCAATTGATCAAGTTGATTTCTTAAAACTTATATTATAAAATCACATCAGTCTTCATATCCTTATATAAAATGTCCTAGCAGAAAAATAATCTCTTATTCTTTCTTTACCATACTAATTATATTCAATATTTTATCAGTTTTTTTAATATCTCGCAATATTAAATGCTAATCTATGTAATAAAATAATATCATTATGATCATCAGCCCACAAATAAATTTTCTAATTCTGTACTATAAAGTAAAGACATTATAATATAACACTTAAACTATGTACTTAAATATAATATGAACATATTCGTGTGTGTATATGTGTGTTTATATTTTTGCATATATGAACTCAATCATTTTTATATAAACTATACAAATTTGTACGTATATAAGAGAATATAAAGAAATGTATGTAAGAGTGCATATATTTTAAATTAATTATTCAATTTTGAAGATACTAAAATTAGATAATGACTATCTATAATAATATAAGTACCTACTAAGGACAACAATCTATTATATAATAATTATTTATAAATGATTTGCTTTTTGTTTTTGCCTTATTAAAAATGTCAACATTTTCTTTAATAAAATTGAATATTTTAAAAATTGCATTATCAATATAAAATTTTTTTATTTTTCTCCTTAACATGTACATAATTTAGATACGAATAATTATTGTGTATGTATAAAATCCTTTAAAAATAAAATACACACATAAACATATATATACGAATAGTATAATTATTAGGGTATATAATAATCTTCGTTATTTAATGTGTTTGCAATAATAAATTTAATTATGTAATTCATTCAAAATTCTAGTGGTAACTATTATAAAACCATTCAAAATTTCAATCTTTTCTAAAGCAGATTACTTTTATAAATAAGAATTATATACATACTTACATATGTATGCGCATTGATAAGAAACAGTGAATTCTCGATTAATGTGCAAGTTCATCAAACAAGTAGACCAACAGCACTGAGACTACACAGTACTCATTTGTATTTCAGAAAACTCACATAAGATGTGCATAATCGAAAAGACATTGAAGAAAAACAATTAACTAAAATTTAACAATAACTAATTATTTTTAAATAATAATTTCCCTTGTAAAGGATGTAGGCCCTTAAGCCCCTCTCACCTCACCACATAAGATCTTAATTTAAAAATTATTCGGCTGTAAATATAAGTGGAGGTTGCTTTATTTAAGCTGGTTTTCAATTAGTTTTACACAAAAAATTTGAATGAATTTTTCAATTATATTTTTGTATTAAACAAAATTCAAATTTTTCACAGTACTTTCCATTTAAATTATTCCAAATAGGCGACTTTCGTTCAACATGGACAAATTACTTGCACTATAATGTAAATGTTTTTCATATATTTCATATAAATTTTGTTTACATTCACAAACATGCAGTGTGCCTGTTATATACGTACATGCATATATAATTATAATTTTATAAAAATGAATTGAGATTCAAAATAATTTATGCGAGTAAATTTTAACGCCCTCACTTGACTGTTATTATTATTATTACTAGCATGAGAAAATAGAAGAGAAAAGTAGAGGAAAAAATAACCCTTATAATTTTCTATTTTAGCTGCTGGAACACTTGATTAAATGAAAAATCTAAGAAAAAAATAAAATAAAGAGAAAAGAAAGAAAAAGGAAAAAAAAAACATGCAAATCTCTTGAATACCAATGAGTTAAATAAAAAACTTTTTTTTTTGCTTTTTGCTGATTAAAGCATATTTTTGTTTTTTTAAAATGCACTTGACTATTTATAATGAACTCAAAATGCACTACAATATACACATACAAGAATAAATGTGTACATATGCACTTTAGAATATAAGCAAGTGCATTCTCTATATATAGGTATGGAAAGAAAAGTTTTTTTTTTATTTTAAAAGATTTATTAAATTCTAAACTCAGTCAGGGTGTTTGTAAACTATTGAGATTCAATTGTTCAACTAGTGTATGCTATATTTATGGTACTTATTATGTAATTTAAGCAAATTAATTGTATAATAATTCGGTGAATAAAATATGGATAATTAATATAGAAAGAGTTTTGAGTGCTTAGTCACTTCATTCAGAATTTTATTGAGAATATTCTTTTTTTCAATAAGAACATCGAGAATTGAATTTTCAATTAAAAATGCAAAATTTAATTATGATTATGATTAAAATTTGTAAAAATGTTATGGAAACATAAATATTTTGATTTTGTGAAACAAAAGAATTTTTTCCGGTTTACTTTGCTGCAAAATTATCTGAACTAAATTATAAGCTAACTTGGTTTGTGAACTGAATTTATGATATGCAAATTCAAGGTTTTCTGGAAAATATAAAAATTCTGATTAGACTAAATTTTGAAAGTTAACTTGGAAATTGATTAATCCAGCCATTTTAAATTATTTTTAAATCTTAATTTTGCTATTTAATTAATCATAAGACATATATTAATTTATTAGTCCTAGTTCATAGGAGCCTCTTGGATTTGAAACGGGATCAAAATGTTTAAACTAAGAAATTTGTTTTCAAATTAAGCATCGTGGTTCAAAATACTGCCTGTAATCGAAAATATTACAAGCTGATTGTTAATGGAGAATTTATCTTAAATAACTGAATGGTTTACAAAATCTTAATTAATATACATTTTTAGTATTGACTATAAAATTTAAAACAATATTCAGTAATTTTGTCTAATTTTATAATAAAATTATTTTTAGAAAAACGTAAACTGACCGCATCAGCTCTCTTTTTTATTTTAATTTTTTCCTGTTGTCGTTTAATACTCTCTATACAAAAAATATAATAAATTTAAGTCAATTAATTTTAATTGGCGATGAGTTTAAAAATTATAGGCAAGGTTTTTTTATTATAGCGAATTAAAAATAAATTAATTTAATTGGAAAACATTAAATATATAGAAAAGAATTTTTAAATTACAAACATTTTTCTAATATGCAAGTATAAATAAATCTGTTAAAAAAAAAACCCAAATATATTAAAATTTTTTATTTTTCTAATTTCCTAGCTACATACATTAAAAAGGGATTAAAAATTTTTTAATTTCACTTTAATAAAATTTTATTTTAAGTACAAAATAATCTATTATAAAATTTATTATAATAATAAAAGTGATTAAATGTAATTTTTAATAGCATTTTAACGTTTTTATAATAATTTTTTAATGAAAGTTACACACTTACACCTATGGCTGGTAGCATTGA